GAGATTTAAAATCAGTAATTAACTGAATAGCTTATGAAAGGTAATTCAGGCTTTAAATGTTAAACCAAACTGTGAGCAGATTTTAGAATGAAAAGCTGTATATTAAATACGCATGATGAAAGTCACACTGGTCAGAATCAGAAAATTGACATATAAAATTAAAATATTTCGAAATATATTAATATATATCTTTTTTATGTGCAAGATAAATATCTAATCTTTAATGACGTAAAGTTGTTTTGTCCATAGTCGCACTGGTGAAGTATTTCTGCCCTATGGTGCAAAACTCTGCCTATTGACTCTTGTTAAAAGTTGTACATGTACAGTAGCTCCTCTTCAATGAAAAAGATAGGACCATCCTGGGGTGCAGCTCTCCTGCGCAATTTTATTTGCACACCACCACAGGGCTGACATTATAGCCATCTGTTATAAAGCATGATTTAGCAACAAGGATCTGAACCAGCATGAATTTAGACAGGTATGATTTAAAGCACTTTTAAGAAAAATTTTTAAAGTTTTTTGTTGTTGGCATTCATATAAATAATGGTGTGATAACTTAGTATACATTTGATTGTTTTTTTGTATACATCTATTTTGAAGTTTAAGCCAACCACCAACTGCCAATGCCCAGAATGCCTTCTAGTTTTGGATCAAAGTTCATTGAAGAAATAATGAAATCTATGAAAAATTTTGTGTATTGAGAAGTTTCATTGACCAGTCCAATTTGTTTCGCATAGAGAACTGCTAAAAGGAGACCAAAGAAAAGAAAAAAGATCAGAAATCAGCTGCCAAAGTTTGATTGGTTGTGCTTCTGTTGTTTGTCCTCTAGGTTTTACGGCTCTATTGAACACTGAGTTTACACAAAGTTTAAAAACTACATGGGACAGCTGCAAGAATTTACTGCTGCATAAAGGCAACAGTACATTTCATGCCACCAGCTTAACTCTTCCTGCTGTAGCTTGGAAATAATATTATGTCCCATTTAAATGATTTAATGCTTTAAAAAGCACACTGAAGGCACCCTCCAGTAAAATGTACAACTTTATGCCCTCAGTGATTCCCTGTACCCAAAATACCCTGAGCCCACTTTTACCAGCTGCACCTGAGACACAAACAGCCTGATACATGGCCTCACTCCAGCCAATCACAGAAAAGCAGCGATATACAGACTGTTTGATTAAGGTTTAGGTGAGGGGCTATTTCACTGTACTCTCCAAACAATGGAGGATTAAGCTGTGGACACAAAACACATAAGGACAGGTGTGATGCTGCTGTCATAATTAACCATAGTGGACAAAAGACCAAAGAAAATGGAACAAACATGGAGCTAAACAGCGACAGTTTTGAAAAAAAAAAAAAAAAAACTTAAGCTCCAAAGCAGATCCAATAAATGCAGCTGCCTCTTTCTCCTAATTTTAAGCTGAACATCCTCTTGTGTGCCAGGATTTGTCAGACAAAATGAAAATCACAAAACTTTCTTTAGGGATTCTGATAAAAACACCACTGGCCTATATACAGTAACCCTCCCATTTTAAAAAGGAAAGTGTCGCCCAAAATATTACAATTCGATTCTAATTCCATTATAATTAACATAATCCCTTCTCTCAGACTCATGTGAAATAGTTTTTTCTACAGAGCAGAAGTAAAATAATCGCAATTAAAATAAAGAACAAAAGTGAACCCAAACTCACCTCTCCCCAACACAAGTCAGCTGTTCAATCTCATTCATTACTTCGGCAATCTCAAATTTCAGCCGCTGCAATAAGAAAAAGGCCTCAATTTAATTTACATACAGTATATATTTCATCTACGATAAGGCAATATGTTGGTGCTCTGAAGTAAAGCTATGTGACTCAATTGAGAGACAAGTGACATGTTAGATGTCACTACTTGCATGCAAATATGAGAGGAGCTTCATGCAGCGTTTAATGCGATACATCGTGTTATATGACATCAAACTTTTCTATATTTTTGTCCCATCTATCAAGTCTTACAATGATATAGTTCACCAAAACCCTCAGCTATCAACTGCAGCTGAAATTTTGTCACTTACTTCGATGTCATCGAGAAGCTCTTTTTTTCTGCGACGTATGTTGGAAAGCTCATCTCTCTCCTCCAAAGACAGGTCCTCGGGCACTGAAAAAAAATAAAGAGTGGGGGGAAAATTAAACTGCATGTGAGTGAGAGAGAAGGGCTGGGTTATGACGATGGATTAAATTATTTCATCTTCCAAACAGCCAGTCGGAGTCACAGGGATTAAGCTCTGCAATGTATACCTGGTCAGTGATTTCATATAAAAGACATAAATTTGACCTAAATTAATCTGCCAATGAATGGAGGTGTGATTCGATTTTGAAGTTAAGGATTAAATGCAGCGAACAGATTGGAAAGGAGGAGACTGCAGCATCATGCTGTTCCTGCAAATTTAATGTAGCCCAGCAGGTGGTTGCACTTATGAGGGGAGCACATTTTGGCTTTTGAGCCGACAAGCTCGTAGAATCATCATATGAAGTTTAGAGCTCGCCTTGCACAAGTATTGATATCCCTTTGAGCTTATAACAGCTTTTCCTCTCTCCGCTGGAGAAAAGCTGCCATCACAATCTTCCACTGTAGAGATGGTTTGTTCAGTCATGTTCCCTCTTAGTTTTTAGCCATTTAGTTTTGCTCTTACAATTAGAGCACTTTCGCACCTGGGTTGATTGTACAAATTAAACTCCAAGTTAAAGTTTTCTACAAGCCTTAACATCTTCTCCTTTTCAATCTTTTCCAAAAAACAGTTTTGATGATTTAATAAATGGTTACTTAAAGGCTGTTGCATAATGAAGTGTTTTTTAGACATTATGATCAAATTTTAACCAATTTTTATCCATAAAGTAGTAGAGTTAGAGTGAAAAGGAGGATTACACATCTTAATACAGGTTAGAATGGGTAGTCATCGATGAAATACGCCTTTTTAAAAGCTAAATCAGGATGTGTTTGTCTACAAAGGATCTCAATTTTCCTAAAAACACACTTTTTTTAATTTTATGTATTTTCAAGTATTTTATCTTGTCGGTTTTATCTTTTCATCTTGTCGGTTTTGTTTGGTCTTCCTATTTGGATGTTTGAATGCACCTTTCAAATAAAAAATTTGAAAAGTTTTAATCTGAGGTCAGTTTCGATAAAAACAAAAAGTAGCTTGACATTTTTAAAATTTGGACTGATGGATAAGAAAAGTGAGACTTCTAGGTAAATAGGAGGACAAAATATGACATTTAACAATTTTTTTTTTTTAAAGAATTGGAACTAATCATATTTTACACTAACCATCTGACTTTGTTAAGGCATATGAGTTCATCTCTTATGAACCAGAATAATGACTATGTATAATCCAATTTCTTCAGATGTCAAGGGAATTTTTTACTCTTACTTTTCTTGCCTGTTTCAGTTACTATGCATTTTCTTCACATACAAAAATATTGTTTTGCAAAGGTAATCTAATCAGAACCAACAATGAACCCACAGAGGGCAGCCCTAAGGTGATTGGAGGCCAAATATTGCAGCATTAAACAAGTTTAAAAGAAAATGGACACATTTGCATAATAACATAAAAATACCTTAGAACCCATAAGACTCAGCAGTAAAACTGTAAAATCTTACTTAAAGGCAAAGATGCAAATCAAGCTGGTTCTAAAATCCGCAATGCAAAATGGATTTTTTATATAAATACTACAAGCTAGAGCATTATAATTGCTATGCTTCATTTATTGATAAAGCATGTGATGTGTCTAGCAGTGTAGTTTCTGATAACCATGCTCCGACACTGGTCCAGTAATGAGTCCCTAGTTTAAGAGTAAATAATCAAAATGTTTTGGGGATTTTTTTGTGAAAGTTTCAGTATAAAATTCCATAATAATTTCCTTTTTAATCTTCTTGAGGAAAGATAAAATAAAACTCTAAATACTTTTTACTATGTTTACCTCCTATATCTTAATGGGTCTACAATTCTGGTTTGGCCTAATGTCGGAACCTTATGCCTCACAGAATTTTCAAGAGGGAATCTCTTTAAAATGTCTTTGAAAAATTACATTAAGGAAGATTAAGGAATGGGCATTAAAATATTTTAACCAAAGCCTTCCTTCTATATAAATAAACACATAAATCTAACAAAACAACAGATATGATTTATGCAAGGTTCATTTTATTTAGCTATTTATATTTTTTTTACATAGGAACACATTAACTAATTAGTATGCATTTCTTTAACATCTCCATGTACAGTGTTGTCAATGCTTTCACATTGGTAAAAGGAAAATATTTGAACAGACCTTCTCAATAAACGTTTGATAAAAACTACAAATGTGGGGGGCCTTCCTTAGCAACTTAGTTTGTGCTTTCCAGCCTCCCAAACCATCCTATAATGGAGCAACCAAAAAATGAAATGTGTTTTTTCTTCTTTATAAGTTTAAGCTTCTAAAAACATCATGATATCACTCACACAGCAGGGGATGGGTGGGGGTGGTCGCATCATTTTGGTCATAAAGACCAATACTAGGAATTAATGAAAATCCGTGTAAATCTGACAGCTGAACTTGTTGTAAACAATTACCAAAAAGAATCAACCAAATGTTGATTTGCTGGGGGTAATTTACAAATTGAGACGTAAGTGACTCAAAAGTTACGCAGTCAACTGAAACTGAGCAAATATTTAGAATAGAGCAAGTGTAAAGCAGAATTTAGAAATGCTCTGTATTTAAGTTCAATTTCCCAAATTCATGTCTCAGCAAAGGAAAATCAACCCCACACCATGATGCTGCTATCACCACGTTTTATAATATCTGTAGTGTGTCTAGGTTGCTGTGCAGTGTACGTTTTGCACCATAACACATCGTTTTCCAACAAGACAAACAAGGTCTTATTTGATCAGTGAACTGTCCTCTACATGTTGGCTGTTTCTCCTGCTGGGCTACAGAGGTAAATTTGAAAAGCCTGTATTTACACTCAACTGGTTGACATCTGGCAAGACTGGCTCCCTCAAATATTGGCTTACTGATAGTCAGCTGTCAGCAACCTCTATTTAGGGGTAATTAAAGCTGCAGAGAGCATCCCATCATGCAACACTTGCTTTAATGTGAGTGCTCACAGAACATTAAATGCACATAACATATAGGGTGAGTGGAGAATTAACATTTCACACACATTGCATTAACTTCCCTCCACATAGAAAGCCCCAAAGGGCACCTACTTATCCCTCATTTTGCCATGCCACGTCAACCTCTACCCCCACATAGACCCCTTGGAGAACCTCCCCCACGTTCCTCTGCACATCAGAAAACAGAAATCGGTTTGAGAGCAAGCTAACAGGAAGTAGGTCATTTTAACATACAGCCAAAGCATATTGCACTTCTCCAACGCCGTTACACACTATCACACATGAACACACTCCCCCTCAATCTCACTTTCTTTTCTGCCTCCACTCCGGTGCTTGAAGTGGGGGTGAGCACAGATTCAAATCCCCTAGCTAAATCATACCACTAAGCAGCTTTACAATCCAGGCACACCCCCCCATGACTGTAAATAATGGTGGAAAAAAAGGACAGTTATTTCCATCCCTCTGTATTTATCTACTGTGTTTCTTTTCCACATTGTCTGACTAAATTCCCCTTCTTTGTCTGGCGCCATGAGAAGAAAGTGACAGAAGTAGCGTAGACTATTAGGCTATTATATCCGAAGGACATGATTGTGATATCGGAAGTAGGCACAAAGTCATGAGAACAGGCGACCTAGATGGATTCAGATACTGTGGACCGTCTTACTAAAACTAAATGCTCAAAGTACTGACAATTTAGGATACAGATAGAAGTACAGCAACTAATTTTAAAGTCTATATAAAAAATTACATTACATTAGGTTATAAACTCACAAAACGCAAAGTGGGTTAAGTGTTACTGCCTCATGAATACCAAGTCTAATAAGCAACGTGACCTAATAATTTACTCTTATCATGTACAGATGACAAATTAGCTCTTTAAGTGGCTTTACTCTGCTGATGGAAATCTTGTTTTTCCTTGAAAGCCATTAAATAGGTTCTGGATGTCCTTTTTAATCACTGTTTATTGACTCATGTACCATTCTAATTCAATAAAAGAGGTTTTCTGAACTGTTACACTTTCTAAACTGTTGAGGTTTATTCACGACAGTGAGATTCAAGTTTAGGAAACCTACTGAAATGTATCCATAACTCTGTTTCCTTCTACTAAGTGATTCTTATTTAATTGTGATACACAAATAAGACAATATCTGCTACCTAACAGAAGTTTTTAAAAATTTCGCAGGATTTTTAAAACCAAAGAAACAGTGCATGTCATAATAAACAATCCTCAACATAAAAGGTTTGGTTCTACAATGTGAAGTGCAGCCGCATGGCCAGGATACACCAACACATTTTATTCAGGAAAATCCAGATGGCAGACAGGAAATCTCACAAAACATCACAAGATCAAATGTGAGTTCAAAGTTAATAAACACGGCCGATGAGAAAGAAGGAATACTTGGAATACTTTGGACTAATTACAAATGGAAAAAACATTTTCTAATAAGAAAGAAAAGGCATTGATTGAAGGAATGGAGACAGCATGAGCAGGGACTCTAAACTAGAGAGTTGTTGCATTTTTTTATTAGGAAACATGTTCTGATTGGCTACATATTACATTTATCAGGTTATCAACTCTGTAAACTGGGAAATATCACACTTGCTCAGATATCAGGAAAAGATCATTCAACATGTTTGATTTTCCTGTTATGTGATTCAGTGGGTCCCAACTTTCCACCGAGCAATACCCAGATGACCCTTTACATACCACACAGAGCAGCAATATATCAAGGTTATCGAAAGGGGCATTATGACCATTAGGTCAACCTCTTAATGTTGGAAGGGGCAGATCCAGACAGAAAATCAGGCTTATTATCCTGTTACGAAAACAAGCCTTAAATGGAATCTTTATTAACCAGGATCTTCAAATAGTGGGAAAAGTAATGATAATTTGTAAAACATTTATTGTTCTTAACATAGCTTTTTTTTATTTTTGAAAAAGATGATTTTTTTATTTTTCCATTGGTTGCATTTTCTTTTGTCTGGGTTGTTACTAATCACGCTC